TTTTATGACCCCCCCCCCCCCAAAAAAAAAAGAATTATAATATAAATAAATTCATTAATACATTTTACTTTGTGCTGATCTATTTAAATGACATATAAAATTGAAGGGAAAACATTTTATTACATGTTTAGCTTGTTAATCAACAAGTTAAAAAGTTTTTACACTTAAATTGAATAATGCAGAATCAATTAAAAGTACTAAATATCATTGTTTGTGGAAGTATAAATATGATTATTGTCAGTATAGCTGACAATTATAGATTAGTTTCTAGCTGCTATCATGTTCTCATGGCCAAGCCAGGTGTTGCTGTATCGTAACAATGGGCATAAGGGACATTTGGGTAAGGCAGGGGCATTGCCCCCCCCCCCTCCCACTCTTCCCTGATTTTGCTGGAATTATTTAAATCGCTATGTTCTGTGGCGCCTCCAGTAATAAACAACATTTTTTCCCGAAAAAAAACCTGAAACGACGCCCCTGCTGGGCATAGTCGATAGTAGCTGATTTATCATTTTCATCTTGCGGAACTGATATACCAGACAAGTCAACATCATTGTCATCATCCTTATCTAACCATTCAGCACTTAAAATATAGGTATTGTCGGTGTGATCAACAATAATTGTCATAAGCTCTCGCTGTCTTTGAGTTGGTATAGTTGTTATTGAATACCGATGAGTTGGTGTTTTACTTAAATTGAACACAGTATACAATGACGAGTTAATCATTCTAAGGAGCGGATTAAACGAAAGATGAGAGGTGAAGAGATGCCAACTTTTGACTTCTCTTGCAGTAACAAAGTGTGCTAGCATTCTGACCAGCCATATGCAGTGCACAGACAGAAACATATTAAGAAACATATTAAATAACTCTTATATTGAAAAAAGTCTTAATAAATATGACTAGTTACGCTGACTATATTGTTTAAAATAATGTAGGAGCCAATCATTTTTTATTAATAAAATTTTAATAGAAAAAAACATTATTGTTGACGTCAACTAATCTAACCCCCCTCCCTCCCCCTTGACAACAACTGTCAAACATTTCCACACCCTCACCGCCCATATTTTGTTGACATAATTAATTGACGCCCCCTAAGGTAATTTAATGTGAGAATTTAAGATTTAAAATGTTGTTTTTTTAGAGGTTAGCCTACTGGTAGGCTACTGATTCTTACAATAATACTTATAGTGTTCAACGTAAATGATCCATTAAATTATAGACTTCCAATCCAATGAAGATGGGACCAAAATATGTGAACCCGCATAAGTTATGAGTTATTTAAAACAAAGGGATTACTGATTCAAGGAAATTATCATGCTCACGCGTCACAGGACAAGAGTTTGTAGCATATTTGCCTACCACCTAGGCGCTTTTTAAAAAACATTATTTCATGACTATAGCACAGGCACACGTTATTTTTCTGTTATAATGATACATGATAAAAAAAATTCTGACCTATTGACGAATGCATCTAAAAATACAAAATTAAATACTTATTTCTTTGACTGGTCACTGGTTCCTCTCAACAAATTGTTTTAACGTAGAAAGCTTAAGATATGTCTACAGTGTGTGTTTCCATCCATCCATCCATCCATCCATCCATCCATCCATCCATCCATCCATCCATCCATCCATCCATCCATCCATCCATCCATCCATCCATCCATCCATCCATCCATCCATCCATCCATCCATCCATCCA